GTTAGATATCATTGAAAGATGATTAAATTTAATGAATTATTCTGTTTATGGGTACCGCAATTAGGAGTTGCATTTGTTTCTGAGTCTGATGCTAGGTACATATATGTTAAAGTAATATCTGAATTAGAATATTTGACGATGTGACGCAAATCTTAAATTTTATAATATTACAAAGGTGTTGCAGTACACTTTGTAAAGCCAGCAAAGTTTGATCAGAGAGGCAAAAGATCTTTTGCACAGAGAAAGAGATCTCTCGTAGTCATCAGCAGCCATGGCTCGTGGATTGCTTCTGATCTGGTATATTTTAAAGCACTTGTAAGAAATTAAACAAGTAGCTAAGGTATGAGGAAAATCCGGTAACAGATTGTGGGTACTGAAACCAAGGCACATGTATTGATTAATTTAATGACTTATTAGTGTTTGTTAAGTATGCTTCTAGCACTTTCCTTTGTTTCTTTGGACTGAATTTGGATTGGTTCTGTTAAAATAATATCTGAATTTGAACATTTGAAAACCATGTGAAGTTATGTTGATTTATTTTAATATTATCAAGCTCCTACAGTACAATTTGTAATGCCAGTAAAGAAATGAATGCAGAGTAGGCTGTGTAATTCTTATAATCATATTTACTTCCTTTTTCTCTGCAGATAGTCATTCTTTTATCAGAGAGGAAGGATCTGCACAGAGCTCTCTGTTTTATCAGCAGCAATGTCTAGTGGATTGCTTCTGTTCTGGTTGATCTCCTCTTTTCATCTTATCTCTGTGTCAACTTCATCAAAAGATACCAGTTTTGTCTTCAACGGCTTTGGACAAGCAAATCTTTCTCTTGATGGGTCTGCTACATTGCTTCCCAATGGATTATTGCAGCTTGCCAAAGATTCACAACATCAAATGGGCCATGCTTTCATCAAGAAGCCAATTGGGTTTAGCTCTTCTACACTACTCTCATTCACAACACATTTTGTGTGTGCTCTGGTGCCTAAGCCTGGATTTGAAGGCGGCCACGGCATTACCTTTTTGATATCTCCGTCTGTGGATTTCACACAGGCGCAACCAACTCGGTACTTGGGGATTTTCAACGCCTCAACTAATGGATTTACCTCTTCTCACCTATTTGCTGTTGAGCTCGACACTGTACGAAATTTAGATTTCCATGAGACGAACAATAATCACGTTGGGATTGATGTGAACAGTCCCATTTCAGTCGAATCAGCACCAGCTTCTTACTTTTCCATAACAGAACAGAAGAATGTGAGCATAAACCTCTCCTGCGGAGATCCTATACAGGTCTGGGTTGATTACGAAGGAACTGTACTCAATGTTTCTGTGGCTCCTCTTGAAGCTGGGAAGCCAAGTCGGCCTCTTTTGTCACGACCGTCAATCTCTCAGAAGTGTTGCCAAGTAGAAGATTGTTTATTGGGTTCTCTGCAGCGACAGGGACATCAGTCAGTTACCACTATCTTCTTGGATGGAGTTTCAGCACAAGCAGGGAATTATTGCAGCTACTTGACATCTCAAAGCTTCCTCGGATGCCTCAGCCTAGAGCTGAGCATAAGAAACCATCTGCTCTGATTATCGCTCCGCTGGTTGCACTTGCTATCATAGTAGTGGCTGTTCTTGCAGGAGGTTTTTACCACATGAAGAAGAAGAAGTATGCGGTAGTAAGAGAACCATGGGAAAAGGAATTTGGTACACGCCGCTTCTCGTACAAATCCTTATACATAGCAACAAAAGGGTTTCGCAAGGATGGATTTCTTGGAAGAGGAGGTTTTGGAGTAGTGTACAGAGGAGATCTCCCTCAGAACAAACCTATAGCTGTGAAGAGAGTGTCTCATGATGGTGAGCAAGGGATGAAGCAATTCGTGGCTGAAGTCGTGAGCATGAGGAGTCTGAAACACAGGAATCTAGTTCCACTTCTCAGGTATTGCAGAAGAAAAGGTGAGCTTTTACTGGTGTCCGAGTACATGCCTAACGGTAGTCTTGACCAGCACTTGTTTGATGACCGAAGTCCAGTTCTTTCTTGGTCCCAAAGACTTGTGATTCTCAAGGGTATAGCCTCGGCTCTCTTTTATCTCCATACGGGAGTTGAACAAGTTGTTCTGCACCGAGATATTAAAGCTTCCAATGTTATGTTAGATGCTGAGTTAAACGGTAGGTTAGGAGATTTTGGTATGGCTAGGTTTCATGACCATGGAGGCAATGCAGCTACAACAGCAGCGGTTGGGACTGTAGGGTACATGGCACCTGAGCTAATAACAATGGGAGCTTCCACTGTAACCGATGTTTATGCTTTTGGTGTTTTCATGCTTGAAGTAGCCTGTGGGAGGAAACCCGTAGAACCCAGGATGATGCAAGCTGAGAAACGATATCTGATCAAATGGGTTTGTGAATGCTGGAAGAAAGGTTCTTTGCTTGAAGCTAAAGATCCAAGACTAGGAGGAGAATTCTTACCCGAGGAAGTCGAGTTGGTAATGAAACTCGGATTGCTATGTACAAACATTGTTCCAGAATCCAGACCAACAATGGAACAAGTGGTTCTTTACTTAAATGAGAACCTACCATTGCCTGATTTCTCGCCATATACACTTGGAATCGGCTCATTTACTCCGGTAGTGGTGGATGCAGTCTCCCTTACAGTATCATGCACTTCAAGAAACTGGTCAGCTCCTTCGGTATCTTCTTCCTCAGGCAACAACTCAAAGGATGATGAACAACCATTGGATATCTCTTAACCTATTTGCAGAATCAAAAGACATCAATTCTCGTCTCTCCAGGCCAAACAGTGGCAGGTAATAAAGTTTTGAGTATTCATATTAAATGTTAATCTTCAAGACATTAGATGCCGAGTGATCTCATTGAGAAAATTCATTCTCCAAAACAATTATCTAACTTGTGAATGTTCAGGTCTTCTTCGTTGTATTTGTACTACATTTTAACCCGCGGCAAACGCGGGATTAAATAATTAAATTGGTTGACTAATCGATTTTAATATATATAACTTTTTATATTTAAACGTATGACAAAGTATATAATTTATTATATCTATAAATATACAAAAAATCTTATGTATTGAACATAAATATAATAAAATTCAATACTTTGATCAAGCAGATGTTAATGCAATTAGTTTTTTTTTTTTTGTCACAAACACAATTCATTATCGATTACACAAATACATTATCTGTATCGGTAAACCAATAGGGAACAGAAGTGCAATGCAATTAGTTTAACTATTTTTTATGTGTAAAATTAATCAAAATATATGCAAAATGTTATTATTCCAATATTTTTTAAATGTAAAATTGATCTTCATTATTCGTGTAAATTATATAGAATAAGATAAATCTGATAAAGATTAGATTTATATGAATTTACTGGATATAACAAACAAAAAACAATATATGTTATCTAATAATGAAATGTATAGATATTTGTAAGTGTGATTACATATGTAAACTACTTCATTATAAAGTTATTTGTATAGTATACTAATCTAAATACAGTATATAATATGAAAATGACAATGTATAATATTATTTGTAAAGTTAATTGTAAAATGAATATGAAAATGAAAATGTATAGATATTTGTAAGTGTGATTACATATGTAACTACTTCATTATAAATCCTTCGTTATAAACTACATATACACGATATATAATATTATTATAAATATGATAATGAAAAACTTGTTAATGTATAAAAAAATTGAAAAAATGATATGAAAATTCTAAAATATTGGATTTAGTTGGAGTTATATTTGTAAAACATGTATTAATGGACTTCTGTTAAAAAAATTAATGAGAATATGTAGAGATTTCTACCATCACATATAATTTTAAATGAAATATTATGATTGGTTGATTTTAAATAAGGTGTCCTTAAATTGATCTTTAAATGACACATAGGATTCTCTTCTTAGTGTCTCTTCAATTAACATATAGAATATTTCATAGTGTGATTTTACTTTTGGTGATCCGGTAATTTTCTGTTTTTTCTACTCAACGACACTATCTATTTTAACCAAATGAAAGAGTAAAAACTGAATCCGGTTCGATTATTTCCTACTTTCAAAATGGGCCAAATAATGGGCCCGAATCTGTAGTAACTATAAACATAATCCGACGCGTGAGCTGCACGCGCCTAAACACTCTCCATCTGGCTGCCGTCTTCGTTCTTCCGGCGACAGAAGAACACGTCGCCAACGATTTCAACATCGCAGCTCCGATTCCGGAAGAGACCGGAAATGTCATTGAAGAGACGGCGTCTTACAATTTCCCGGTATGTGCGTCTCAGATTGTGGGGGTAATGATGGAATTTGATTTGTTTATAGGATGAGGAATTTAGAATTAGGGGTACGACTTGGAATAGTCAGAGAGAAAATGACCAGGAATTGGATTTCTTCAGAGAAATTGTGTCTTTGTGATTTGGTATTCTGAATCAGTAATTGATATGAAAACGATAGGATTCATCAATTTGACCAACAAAAGTTGCTGAATTACCAGAGATATTGGTGCAAGACCTTTTGAATACATGTAATCTAACTCTTACTTTCTGAATGATAGAACCAGCTTCGGAATTTGAGATTCCTTTTGGGAGTAACACGAAATATTTCTGCCAAAGGGAAGTGCTTTAGCTTGCTTTTGTTTGTTTCAGTTGACCTTGGAATAACCAGACTAGACCATAAAATGTTTTTTCCACCAAGTATTTAAGTACATGATGGATTAGATTATGTAATAATTATGCTACTTGTCATTTCTTTTCTTTGATTATTTTATCATGAAGTCAATTTTGTGATGCCTATTGGGAATCTTTTTGCGTTTGCTGGGAACAGTTCCTTAGGAGAAATGATAGAAAATGCAGTGGAAATGGAATGTTGAGTTTGACTACTTCTTATCCGGAAGTAATGGTAGACCTTGTTTTGCAGCTCCAGAGATTGCTTGTTACCAAAGAGAAAAAAAAGTATTTCATGAAATTTAGACTCTCTCTTTCAGTAGCAATGGCTTTTAGACTGCATCTGGTTTTGATCTTCTCTTGCATTAATCTGATTTGTCTGTCAAGTCAACAGGAAACCAGGTTTGTCTACAATGGCTTCGATCAAGCAGATCTTTTTGTTGATGGGCTCGCTAAGATCCTTCCTGGTGGGCTTTTGCAGTTGACAAATACTACAGAGTTGCAAACTGGTCATGCTTTCTTCAAGCAGCCATTTGATTTTGGTCCACCTGAATCACTCTCGTTCTATACGCATTTTGTGTGTGCGCTGGTGCCTCCAAAGTTGGGAGCTGATGGTGGCCATGGGATTGCATTTGTTGTATCTCCATCCATGAATCTCTCTCATGCCTACTCAACTCAGTACTTGGGCATCTTCAACAGCTCAACAAACGGGACTTCCTCTTCTTATCTGCTAGCTATTGAGCTCGATACTGTTAAGACAATAGAGTTTAACGAGTTGGAAAAGGCTCATGTTGGGATTGATGTAAACAACCCGATATCTGTTGAATCTGCCCGTCCTTCTTACTTTTCCAATGCCTTGGGGAAGAATATAAGCATCAATCTCCTAAGTGGGGAGCCTATCCAGGTCTGGGTGGATTACGATGGAGCGTTGCTAAATGTCTCGCTGGCCCCTATAGAAATCCAGAAACCAAATCGGCCTCTTCTATCAAGAGCCATCAATCTGTCAGAAATATTTCAAGATAAAATGTTCGTTGGGTTCGCTGCAGCAACAGGGATATTGACCAGCAACCAGTATATACTCGGGTGGAGTTTTAGCAGAAGCAAAGAATTACTACAGACCCTGGACCTCTCTAAACTAACTCAGGCTCCTCTTCCTAGAGATGAACGGAATAATTTATCTTATGTGCTTATTGGGTTGGTCATCTTATTGGTTATCCTAATACTGATTGTTCTCGGAGGACTTTATTGGTACAGGAAAAACAAATACGCAGAAGTAAGAGAACCATGGGAAAAGGAATACGGCCCACACCGACATTCCTACAAGTCTCTGTACGAAGCAACAAATGGGTTTGGCGAAGATGGTCTTGTTGGGAAAGGTGGGTTTGGAGAAGTATACAAAGGAACAATGCCCCAAGGCAAGCAAATAGCTGTGAAAAGACTGTCCCACGATGCAGAGCAAGGTATGGAACAGTTTGTGGCAGAAGTTGTAACTATGGGAAGTTTACAGCATCGGAACTTGGTTCCTCTTCTCGGGTATTGCAGGAGAAAAGGTGAGTTACTGCTGGTCTCTGAGTACATGCCCAACGGTAGTCTTGACCAGTACTTGTTTAATCACCAAAACCCACCTCCTTCATGGTTTCAAAGGATTTCTATTCTTAAGGATATTGCCTCGGGTCTGAATTACATGCATACAGGCCCCAATCCAGCTGTTTTGCACCGGGATATAAAAGCTTCTAACGTCATGTTAGATTCTGAGTTCAATGGAAGGTTAGGAGATTTTGGGATGGCCAGGTTTCATGACCCCAGAGGCAACTTATCTGCAACAGCCGTTGTGGGAACCATAGGTTACATGGCACCTGAGCTGATAACAACGGGAACTTCTACAAAAACCGATGTGTATGCCTTTGGTGCTTTCATTCTTGAAGTAACATGTGGAAGGCGACCTGTGGAACCCGAGTTGCCAGTGGAAAGGCACTATCTGGTCAAGTGGGTTTTAGAGTGCTGGAAACAGGCTTCTTTACTCGAGACCAGAGATCCAAGATTGGGAGGAGAATTCTTATCCGAGGAAGTCGAGATGGTTCTGAAACTTGGGTTGCTCTGCACAAATGGTGCGCCAGAATCCAGGCCTGCCATGGGGCAAGTGATGCAATACCTAAGCCGGGACCTACCCTTACCGGAGTTCTCGCCGGATACTCCAGGTATTGGGGCTTTTATGCCAGTTTCAATGGAAACATCATCAATAATTGGTGTCCCCAACTCATCAATACCAATGTTTGTCACTCACACCATCTTGGGAGGGCATGGAAGATGAGATCCAAGTATTCTATATCTCTTTTGCTACTGAAATGTTTTATTTTAGAGATTTAACTATGTTGCTGGTTTGAGTCTGTGCGATCTTATCTTACCTCCTGCATTGTTTTTAAGTGAGTTAGAGGTATTAATTTCCTTGACCGTAAGTGGCCAAGAGACATGTATTACGTTTCTTGTCTTGACATGCATATGTAAGACTCTTATCTTTTCATCTCTCTTCCTTAAATCCTTACTACAACAAATCCTAATTATTTCTAGAAATTAATAATTAGGATTTCCATTTTCTCAAATCCTAACTAATAGTATTAAAAATGTTTTACAGAGCAAGCCGTAGAAAGTAGTAAATGGAAATCGGATCTAATTGATTCCTTACGATTTCGAATTACATGAAGAGAGAGGATATGATTTTTTCCACTACAATAAATTCGCAGAAAAATGGAAAAACCCAACGGCTATATTAATTTGAGAAAATGGAAACAATCGGATCATTAAATGAACATATATACTCCAAAAAAGGAAATTAAAACCCATATAATAAGCAAACCCTGAAGCTTAGAGGTTGGTATTATTCACTCTAATCTCAGTTCTCTTGTTCCTCCTCAAAAGTTGTCTTCTCTCTCTGATCTAAAAACCTAGAAGCTTTTTTTTTGCGTAAACAATGGATTATTCGTCTTCTGCAACAGAGAAGAAGAAGAAGAATACCAAATTGTGTGTGACACAGCAAACCCGTTTCAAGAAACAACCTTCCTCGGTCAATATTCCGGCTGCAAAAACAAAGACGCTAATTTGTGCATGAGAGAACGGACACTTCTCAACAAAGCCTACGAGCTTTCGACCCTATGCGACATCGAAGTCTGCGTCATCTATTACGGTCCTAACGGAGAGCTCATCAAGACATATCCCGAGGACCAGTCCAAGGTCAGAGACATGTCCGAGAGATTTATCAAACTAAGCGACGTAGAGAGACGCAAGAAAAGCACCAACCTTTCTCAGTTTCTTACTAAGAATATCAAAAAGGAGAAGCAGACATCTCTCGATAAAAACGACAACAAATTCTCACTGAAAGTCTTGGAGATGGAGCGTTCGTTGGAAACTCGTTTACAGGTTTTACAAGACAAGCTTCAGAGCCTTGCGGTTGCATCAATGACTGAACAGAACAACAACTTAACGATGGTTTCTTCTGGCAACGAATCATCTTCTTTACTCATCAATGATCCATTGATAATTACGCATCCAGATCAATTATTAACGAATCATCATCTCTTGAGTAAGGACCTGAGCCGTGATGTTTATAACTCTGGCAGCTTCGCAATTGATTCGTCGAATCAAAATCAGAACAAGTATTCAATCTTTTTGTATGACCATGACAAGGATACTTTTACTCAACTGTCCGCTCTGCTTCAAGCTTTGATCAAGGGTATAACAATCTGACGAGTACGGCTTTACTTGGGGCACAAAGATTTTGTGGGGATGTTCTGAG